AATGAAATAGAAAGAGTAAAATGCGATAAAGAGAATCAAATAGAGAGAAGCAGACAGACTTTCTCTCTCTCTCTCTCTCTCTCTCTCTCTCTCTCTCTCTCTCTCTCTCTCTCTCTCTCTCTCTCTCTCTCTCTCTCTCAGTCCGAGCAAATAATCGGGTACTTTATTTTATATCGCACTTAATATTTCGTTTGCCATCTTCCAAATGCTTAAGAACTCCTTGTTAGGTATAAAGCTCAAAAAAAAACAGTAGTGATAAGATAATGTGAAATTTTATCAAAACTTATTTCCACCTGCAGCGCTTACCGGCAAAGGGCTAGAAATTGTCTACGTATTTCTTTGGATTATTAATCACCCGATGTGGAATTTGACGCAAATTTGGACTCATTTTTGAAGAGGAAGGACTGTATTTTGTGTGGTTATATAGAAAAAGTGCACATGCAAGGGGGGGGAGGGAATGCAGCAAACCCAAGATGAAACTGGTCAAGAGAAAATAAAATCATATTTCGTCGTGATACTGGACTTATAAAGAAAAAACAAAATAGACAAGTATAATTCCACCCATCAACCTTCATTTGACATACTTGGTGCTGGTAAAAAAAAAAATTATACTTCCTTGTCTTCCCAAAATGGTCCCTTGTTGAACATTTAGGCCTTAAAGACAACCCCTAAGGTCCCAGACATTTACTCTCCTTCCCTTCGTCTTTTCTACAAACGATATGATTTTTTTTCTTACTAATATTGATGGGAACGTCTGAGTGTTGCTATTTTGCCTTTTATTGTATTTATTGCATCAGTTAGAACATCATTTTTTGTATTAAATATACTCTGAACCTATTAAATATTTTGGCCACCATTGGAAGACCACTAAAAGGGTCGGACGAAAGCCCATTGGAAGGTCTCACTGTAGGATCGAATGAAGGACTCACACCTCACTTGAAGGACACCTCCGGAAGGAATGAAAAGGCACCACTGAAGAGGCCAAAAGAGAGGCCGAAGAAGCATTTTCAAAAGGGACGAAGGAGAAGCATGAGAAAGGCTGAAGGGATATCTTAGTAAGGCCTAATGTGGGACCACAGGAAGGGAAGAAGAAAGCCCCACAGGAAGGGAAGAAGAAAGCCCCACTGGAAGGTAAGAAAAAAGGCCCACTGGAAGAGAAGAAGAAAGCCCCACTGGAAGAGTTGAAGAGACACCACTGGAAGGGCTAGTGAGGCACTAATCACTAGTGGAATGACTGAAATGGCATTCCTTTATAGGTCAAGGAGATATGGCTGACCCGAGAGATTCACAGCCATCCGAAGGTTATCGAACTGGGAATTTATCTGGTAAAACTAGTGCATTCAAGTATAACAATGTAAGCCCTGTTGTTAAATAAACAGGTCGATGGAAACTTTCTCTTTGTATCTTAATATCTAAAATGAAATATATGAGATAGTATAAATAAAAACAGACATTCCCTCTTTTAATTTCCTAATTGAATGTTAAAGCCATCACTTAGTTATATTGCCTACATCTTATACTCGCTAAAAGATAAATGCTTCCAAAAAAATTATGAACAAATTATAATAAAATAAAACAGAAATAAATAAACAATTATACAATATAATCGTCTATTGCCTATATTTACCTTTCCATTTGCATATCATTTCCTGATTCCCGTTTTGGCGTGATACTTCGCACGTCAAAAGAAAAATAAAAGATAAAACAATCCATAAATGTTTATTTGTTCTCTTTTGTTCAATCATGAAACATCTGTGTAACATATATAATCAAGCTATTTGTCATCCAGACGCAATTGGCCGCCATCAACATTTTTGAAGAAAATAGCTGATATTCTTTCGCTAAGACAAAAAGTGCGAGAAAACGTGATATGATACTTCCCCGTCAAAAAGTTCAACCACTCAAAATTACATATATTTTTTACAAAAAATGAATAACGACGCAACGGCATGTGATATCATCTATTTCTCATCCTTTTCCATGATACTAACGCCCTGGTAACAATTTAGTCTAAATTAGGGCTGCAGCTTATGAAACAAACGTAAAAGTGGCGCCCATATCAACTGTTATTTTTTTAAGAATTACATGAAATGTAATCATATACGTTTCAATCGTTTTATGACTGAGTAAGGAAGAATCAACTGAACAGATAATAAATATTTGTTTTTGCTTTTCGGAAATGACTTGTAAATATTATGGATGGTGGAAAGGAAATATAGGCCAAAGGCAGTTATATTATATTTTTTATGCGTCTCTGCATTTATTTCACATATACATTTTTTGTATTACAATTTTAATCATGTCCAAATCTTCATCCTTTAGCGAGTGTAAGCTGAAAGGTGTATCGGTGACGTCATTAACATTCGATCAAAAATGTTAAAAAATGGAATATCCGTATTTTCATATGCTTTCTTGTGCACTTCATTTCAAATATTAGAATATGAGATAACAAGGTTTATAGCGTTATATCTGAATGCATTACAGCGTTACCAGATCAAATCCCCGCTCGATAATTTTAGAGTGGCCCCGCACTTATCCGGCCATCCGTACCACTGGAAGGGCCGAAGGGTTATATTGGAAATCTAAAAGGCCTCCATTTGAATGAAAGATGAGATACTACTATGAAGGCTGAAGGGACACTATTGAAAGGACCGACAGGGAGTCATTGGAAGGTCATTTGGCAAAGGGCTGACTGAGAAAGAGAGAGTAGGGGGGGGGGAGAGAGAGAGAGAGAGAGGGAGAGAGAGGGGAGAGAGAGAGAGAGAGAGAGAGAGAGAGAGAGAGAGAGAGAGAGAGAGAGAGAGAGAGAGAGAGAGAGAGAGAGAGAGAGAGAGAGAGAGAGAGAGAGAAATGAGACAGAGGGAGAGTAGGGGGAGATACTGAGAGAGAGACTAAAACAATGAGAGAAAAAAATAAGAGAAAGACAGAGAATAGGTCAGGCAGACAGGCAAGCGGGGCGGTTAGTAAGCAAACAGACAGACAAAGATAACGGTAGAGAGAGAAAGAGAGACAGACAGAAAGAATAAACAAACAAACGAACAGACAAACACGGAGAGGCACGTAGTAAAAAAAAAAAGAAAAAAAAAAAAACTTTATATATCTCTTGTATGCTTTTCAAAGAACTGTATCTAAAATAACCAATTAAAAAAATAAGGAAAATTTTAAAAATACGAAATTTGTCATGATGGCCACAGTATGCTACTGACAAAATTATAATCAACCTAGTTTTAATGTAAGGAATTCCCCTGCTAAAAGGACGTAACAACGAAAACAGCTCCACCTTATCAGATAATTTTCAGGAAATTAAGATTTTTTTTTTTCTTTCTACCTTTCTTTTTCTCTCGATTTATCTTTCATTGCATGTTGGTATATTTTTAGTCATTTTTTACCGCTTGTATATTGTTTCTTTATTGTTTATTGTATCTGTAAGTTTGTTTTAACAAACATATAATTTTCATTGTCTTTTTTCCCTTAACTGTGTCGTTTTCATTTCGTTGTTTACATGTTAAATATATTTTATACAGTTTCTATAATTTTTGTAACCTTTTATTTATACATTTATATGTAAAATAATTTGTATTTTTACCTCGTATTTTCTTTTTATGCTACTTTTTTTTACTTGAATATTTTCCGTTCTAATTCTGCCTTCGCGACAGTACCTGCCTTAGTAAACTATCAACAGTATATCAATTTATTTTGATATGTCTTCAAAATTTCCCGTAATGCGTAATGATATATGAAGTTGATATGGAAAAAAATAAATCCTAGAACACCTGTAATTTATATTTATTTACTTCCACATAATGATGGATTTATGCATAGGCTACATATTTTGCTTTTCTAAGGCAAGTTAGGATTAACTGTAACGATAACTTACTAGTTTTTTTATCCCACCTACTTACTTACAATCGATAGTATTATAAGTGATTTTTTTTTCTATGCCCTTTCTTACTTCGTTTCTTCTCTTCGTCTCTCTCTTGTCTCTTGTTTTGTTCTTCAGTGTTCCCCTCTGGTCGTCTCCTGTAGCTTTTCTTTCTCCTTTTTTTCCTGTTTCCTCAATTCTGTTCCCTCATTTACACCTGTCTTCTCTTTTCTTTCCTCTTCTCCTCCCTTCTTTTCTTTCGTGTTATTTCTTCTTTTCTGTTTTCTCCTTTCCACTGCGTTCATGTCTTCCCTTCTCAATCTCTTCTTTTCTCACATATTTTCTCCTATTACTCTATGTCTATTTATTTCATTTTTTTCATGTATTCTCATTCCTCTCAACTCGCCTTTTGGTTCTTTTCCTTCTACAAGCTTTATTCTCTCTACTCTGCTTATTCTTGTATTCTAACACAAACTCCTGTTCTGCAATATTAAAGTCAATATTTGATTGCTCATTTCTCATTTTCTCCCTCTTTTATGAAACTAAATTGTATCAGGGATCCATGAAAAATAAATATAGAGTATATGGGAGTTCTATGGGAGTATTCGGGAGTTCTATGGGAGTATATGGAGTATATAGGAGTATATGGGAGTTCTATGGGAGTATATGGAGTATATGGGAGTATATGGAGTATATGGGAGTATATGGGAGTTCTATGGGAGTATATGGAGTACTATAAATATTTTCAATAGTTACCGGTCAAATAGGAAATCTGGTTCGTTTTCTGTTATTCATTGAATATTTTCTCTAATTCCGAAATAGAAAAAAATGCAATATTTAATTATTTGTGTATGAAATTAAATTAGATATATTATTATAGGATTTCTATTTTTTCTAGTAATTTTGATATTTTTTGTCATTTGTCAGTTTATTCAAATATAGCGTTGATTTGATAGTAAAGCATTTGCTAATAACCCTATTATTTTTTTTAAAGATTAGATAAATTACTCCCACATTAGCTTCTAATTTCTTCATAATTATCTTCGATCCCAAATTCAAGAGAAAAGCTCTAGAAATATTATATACAAACGAAAAATAAATCTCCCTCATATCTACCAGATGCACGTGTTTACATCTCCGTGTTGAAAGAAGAGGATCCTGTTGTTAAGAAACTTTTTTTACTTTTTTCTCCTCTATGTTCCTCCCTCTTGGCTTAAATGATATCTGCAGTAACTAGCAAGTTGAAGAGCATCCTAGGAGCCAATTCTTATGCGACAGAGAGTCGTAAAAGAACGTTGGAGAGGCAAGTATAGGGAAAATCAAGCATCTTACCGGGAAATTTTCACTAGGATGAATGTGAAGTCTAATTGAATTTGTGTTTTTTTACGTTTATGTGGTGTGGTTTTTTTTTTCTTTTACGATATTTGCCCCGGTATTTTGACGTTTTACGTATCTTTCATAATGATGTAATTGTTTCCAGTGTATTTATTTAGTTCCATTTAGCGCATGTGTTTTTGGTTGATTTCAGCATAGTGGAGTTGTGTATCACTTCTATGTTCTGGGTAAATATATCATTTTTATTAATTTTATATATTTTTTAAAAGATATATTGTGTGTATATAGCCACTTTTGACATTTATATTGTTATTGGTGTAAGAGCAATGTAGTGATATGAATAATTGCAGTAATCTTGGCTACCTCACTCTGCACTCTGGCAAAGGCTAACAAACAACTAACTTTCACCATATTTAATCTGGCAAGATTAAATGGAACAGAAAGGAGTATCAGCTCTTATTTGATCAGAATATAATTGGAGGGTTCAACTAAAGTGTGTCCGGAACCTTTTTGCATGTCAGGAGTGCGTCCGGTAGAAAAATGCGCATCTGGAAGCGCGTCAGTAAGAAAAATGGGCATCAGGAACAGTTTTTTAGCATAAATGCTAACTAGGTGGAGTATCTTCCTCTCATTTTTCTCTCACTTACCATTTTCACTCTTTGTCATTACAAACCTTCATATCTCATGTCTCACTCATGTGGATGCTTTTCAGTACAACAAACATGTGAGAAGTGAGCCTCTTTCCTGATCTTGGGATGAAAGTGTTTATATCAAATTCCGGGCATTAGGTTTACTTAAGTGGCAACTCTCCTGGGTGTGTGGTTTGTAGGCCAGGCTCCCACAAATACTCATGTGTGGTATCAAGACTCGTGCTTCCCATTTGCAATGTGATTATATCTCTCCATATGCATTTTTAGCATTTTTTTGCCATTTTCCAAGGTCCATATTTATCATTTGTTATGCTGCATCAAGATGGTAATGGATTTTTTAAATTGAGTAGACTCCATATTATCTCTCTAGGTAGTATATGGTTTAGGTAAACACACAGTAGTCAAATCAGCTCTTTATTGATGGAGTTGCAGAGGTGTGTCACGGTCAGAGTCAAGCCGATGAATGTGTTCGTCGCTTTGGAATCCGTGGCTTAAATGGGCCAGGCACGATGTTTACTCTCCGGTCAGGTCTGGAGAGGTAAGCGGTGATTGGTAGTGATGACTGGAACCTAACTCGCCAAACGGCGTGTGTCAGGTCCTATGGAGCGCTGAAGCTTGCCGCGGACTGGTCATCACAAGTACACACCTATGTGCAGTAACAATGACAATAAGTAATATTTCTCATGACAGCATATTCCCATTACCCAGCTCACTGCCAAATTTTTTCCATGATGTGACGATCAAGTTGCCCAGATCCAATGGGTTAAGCAATGCAAATCAACTCATGTACAGATTGCAGATCATATTAAAAGTTTTTTGATATGCATAGGGAGCTGCTGAAAACTTCCTCACATCTTTCAGATGGGGGAATGGGGGGGGGGGTAAACTTTGCATATGCAATTGGCTAAGAGGGTGTACACTTTCCAAAAGATTAAGAACAACTGCCCTATAGGTATATGTGTAACTATATATTTAAAAAATTGCAGTAGTAGTATAATATACTCTTGATTCTATGTATATTCTTATGAAAAAGTATTGTATCAGAAGTGTAGTTTGTAGAAATTTTGTGTTCATATGTAGAGGATGTGGTTAATCTTGAATTTTTAATTTTCTCTAATATAGACTCAACTTCAATTTTAAAAACATTATGGTGGTTAACTTTTATCCTGCCTTATTACAAGGCAGAGCCATAATAGAATCATTTTTCTCTAAATATTCAACCATTCATTACCATAATTAGTTTGGTGTTACAGCTGGATATGTAATAACCCACTCTTCATAGTCTTATCACAGTTAGAAGGATGGATGGAGAATGAGAATGAGAATGAATAATTACAAAAGGCAAGAATAATCATTTGCAGTGGAAAATGTTCTGTCTATTTGAAATTCAGCCCTTGCTCTTGCCTTCCCAGAATTATTCGTTCTCATTTATACTCCTAATAATTATCACCGTTTGTTTGTTTGTTTTTTTGAGAAAACAGCCCTTCTCACTTAGATTTATAGACCTGAATCACTCCCTTCCCCCCCTTCACATAGCTAATTCTTCCAAGCTTCTACAGGGTGCTTTATATGCTTGTTGTCAGTATATAAATGGCGCAGAGTTGGTGATTAGTGTCCCGAGTGTCTGGATTTCAGGGTTAGTGGAATGGGTACCAGCACAAACCCTGCAATGAGAGGATTAAGGTGAGACTTGCGGTCCCTGCTACCACGCTGGCAGCACCTTTCATAGTTGGTTGTGGTAGAGCTGTAGTGGTTTTGTATTTTTTAAGGAATGTATTCAGAGGCTTTGCCTGAGTAATGTGTAGTTCATGTTCTTAGTCGGGGGAAGAGAGAGAGTGAGTGAGTGAGTGAGTGAGTGAGTGAGTCTGTGCACATGCATGTACACATACTTTTATGAGTGCTGTAGGTACTTTATCATAGATGTCTAATAGATACCAAAGTATGATGTCCTTTCATATAGAGTTTCACACAAGACATTTCTAGTTCATGAACAGTTGCATTTCAGATTTATGTCAGGGATACTCGTTTTGTCTCTAAAAAGGGGGTTTGGTTATTCCATTCTTTATTCTCTGCCACATAGTATCAAGTGAATAAAATGTTGAGACCTATGTTGAATTTTTATTTTTATTTTTTTTTATCATTTTTTAAGTAAATTCTGTAAAAATATGATTTTTTTTTCCCAAATGATTATTTCAAGAATTATTTTAAAGTGATACAGTCAAGAAAACAGATTAGTGGCCCTGTTAGGTTTTACCATGTTATTGGAAACTCAGCATTTTATTTACTTATCTCTAGTTACTATAACAAAGTTTTGAATGAATTCATCCTTGCAAAGAAATCAGTAGACATATATAGATATATATTTTGAGTAATGGCAAGGGCTAGCATTACTTTGTTTGACTGCCAGTATTTATATATGCAATAGGTACATAGGAATATATCATAGACATTGACTCTGTTATCACTATCTAAAGCAATGGTAACACTAGTCTTGTCTGTCCAGGAATCCCCAGGCAGCCACACAGAGTGTCTGTCAGGTACAGGGCAGGATTGGTCACACTATGCACAGTGTCCCCCTGTAGAGAAACATCATCCCAGTAAAGATCAAAGTGTCTATAATAACCTCTAATCTTTTTGAAGTTTAGTGTCTTCTTTCTTGAAATTTTTCAGTTGATATATGATGATATTCATAGAATCCAGGACTATCTAAGCATCGAAGATAGTCATGGATACTGTAAATATCATCACATACCAACTGAAATTTTTATGGGAAGAATACACTAAACTTAGAAAAGCCAATCCATCCATTTTATTAATCATCATACATCATGTAACCATGCCAGTTATCCTGATACGCCATATTTTAACAAAAAGAGAAGATCCAACAATATTCTTTCCAGTAGCATATACTTCTATGTGTGTAACCAGTAATGTATAAGAGACATGATTATAGACGGATAAAACTAGAGTTCGGAGGGAGCAAGCGCTAGTCTATAACTGAAATTGAGTAAAATAGTAATTATTGATGACATGACTCAACCTTGCCAGTTGTATAGTTATGCCTCATACATAGCAAAGATTCTGGTTGATTTCATCCATTATTATTTCTAACATTCTGCAATCATGATATTTGTGGTTGGCATTCCATAATTGTTCTATGGCTCTCACATTGGCCACCAGGGCTTTAATAATGTCTGAAATGAGCTCCGTGTCTTCAGCATGTTGGAGTGGGTGGGTGTTTGCATTAATGGATCAGATGAACATTTGCCTGGATAATATTTTAAATTTCATTGAGGCATCAATGTTAGTTGTAATATATATTACTTATTTCTACAGCACATCTTTACCAAACATGATATAATAATTGCCATTTAGACAATCAAGTAATAAGCTTCCTATTAGTAATTATACTGTGGTTTTCTTTTTGCATCATCTTTGACTCCAGCTGGGGCAAAAGACCAACACAGCAATTCTTGCTCAATGCCACTCGAGGCATGGATTTTCATCTCGGTTCCCTTCACAGTTAGGGAAGTATCCCACTCTGTAAAGTATCCTTGGACAGAATTGTATGATGACTGCCCTTTAGGAGTTTTTCTGTTCATGTTTTATGTCTTCCATTTAATCATCAATTCATTTCATCTGGAAAATGATCAATGCAGCATTGTTTATTCTCGGTGAAGAAAGTGATGACTCCGCATTGTGGTAGTTGCTAATGAAGTCCCATTATAGAAAGAAGGAAAGCAGGTCAAAGCTACGAGAGGAAATTTGTTGTCGGAGTAACCCAAATTTTTAAGATTGAACTCCAGTACTAGTACATACAACTCTATGGGGTAGTATTAAGAAGGAAAGGAGAACTCAAAGGATAAAAAAAGAATCAAGTGTTATTTCTAATAAAATTAGTTGGTGTTGCTCTTATCAGATATAAGAAAAACAGAGATGTTCACAGAGTGGTACGTGTGGGTGTCATAGTTGTTTGTTGTTGAGTGGAAAGAAAAAATATTTTATTAATGATAGTGACAGTAATAAGATTTAGAAAATGATGATAATACGGTATGATAAGATGGACCAGAGGAAACTATTGACCAAAGTATGAGAAATTGAAATAGCATTTAGCGTGAATGTTAAGTGAGATGTCTTCATGGAGGTAATTTTG